ATTTTGTCGAAACTAGTTTCGAGACAGTTTCGATATCGATGCTCTCGAAAGTTTCGAGTTTCGAGAGGCATCATTAACTGATCCATCCCTAAATTTTACAAGGAATTAATTTTATTACCGTTAAACGTAACGTAAAATTAGGCGATTTTTGAAAAACTTTTTTATGTTACGTCAGATCTTTTGGTAGGCACAGAACTCCTTCGTCCATTACACAATTTTTTATAAAAAGAAATGCGAATTCGTTAAAAAAACGACCGATTATTCTATTGATATTTTTAAAGATCATATTCTAATGTATAAAGGTTTTCTCTTTTCGACAATAGTGATGCAGTAGAATCATCCCAATGATGTTATGGCTTAAGAGAGGGCCAGGAAATACGTATTTTCTTTAGTAAAGGGGGTCTTTTTAAAAAAATGTCTACATAATGAAGGAAGAAACCTAAGGAGGGAGTTGATTTTGCTAAAATAAAGAAAACATGTTTTCTGGCCCTCCCCCTTAAGTCGTAATTAGTTAAAGCCTATGTCGTAGCTAGTTACGGTAATCGTTAGAACGATTCTACTATTCGACACCCATATACAAACCGTCAGCACAAACCATTACGGTGAATTTATGAAATACCCCAAAATTTGAAAAATTTGACTACTAAGGTGATTCTCCGTTTAACATACCCTCCCCCTCTATTTTTTCAGTTTTTAGGTAAAAAATACTCATATAATTTAGGCCAGAACCAAAAAAATTTTATAATTTTAGCCAGAATTATATTTTTGTGTATTTTATTTAATATTTTAGCCAATATATGCAGTCCCTCCCTAGATTTTGACTTGAATGCTATCGTTATGTTAAACAGAGAATCAAATTGGTCTGGCCTAATGTGTAAATACTGATTTTTTCTGTGATAGTCAATATTCCCCAGGTTAAGGTATGTCGTTGTAATAAATTTATATGTCTAATGTAAGTGGGGAAGATTAGTCTGTGGGTTATCAGTTTAAATCAGAGGACAAACCAATTTTTTCGATGGTTTAAATTAATTTATCAATAACAAATCTCAGTACGATCATAAAGAATATTTTATAACTACGTAATGAAAAATTTAAATTACATTAAATTACTGATGATTTATTTACATTGTTTAAAAATTTTCCCGGATATACATTTAGAAAAATGAATAGACTAAAATAAAATAAAATTTATCGTTATGATTTCTTTCCAATTAGTGCTGCAGCTTGCACCCATAGTTTACTTGGATCTCTTGCACTCTTTTCATCATAATATAATCTGTAATCAGCAGGTCTAAATACGAATTCTAAAACTTCATCTGGGTTTTTAATACTATAAGCTTCATTAACAGGGAAATTAATTACGGATGAAAAAGGAAATTGCTTAGGCATTAAGGAATTATCAAGTAAAGAAACATTGTTCAAATATTGAAAAAATGTATCAGACGATATAACAAATCCACCAGCAAAACATGCAAAAGATAATGGCGTTTTTGAAAATCCACCAACAGCAATTGTTTTAACATTTATCTCAGCTAATCGTTGCGTAATATGTGCACAAGCAGATCCGCAAAATCCATTTGTCAAGATAATTAAATTTTCAGCAGTCCAGGGAAGTGGGTTTGAAATATTTCCAAGAAGTTCCCTAATGGGTTCTTCGTCATAATAAAAAGACTTTTCAGAATATCTATCATTTAAACCACCACGTGTATAATAATTATTTCCGATATAATCTGTAATATTATTATATGAGGCATTTGTTTTTGGAGAAACATAAATTCCTACGTTGAACTCATTAAAAGAATTTTGATTTGTAGATTGTTCTATCATAAGTTTGGATGCATTATTAATTCTTTGATCAAATGGAAAATTTCTAATATCTCTAAATAAGAGTTGGGTAATATAGTGAGCTATTGTAGCTGATCCACCACCATTGTTTGTCAAATCCAAAACGACCTAAAATAACAAAAAAATACGATTTAAAATATCAAATTAACAAGTACATAACTAATAGGTCAAAAATTAATTTACCTTTTTAATACCCATATTTACGAATGATTGAAATCCTTGATTTATGGTGCTAAATAGATCGCTTGTTTGTACATCGTTTGTAATATTAGGTGTTTCTGTAGAAATCACAGCAACCCCAAAGTCTTGTACAGTATAAAATCTAGCAATTTGAGCATCGATAATCAGTTTTCCTTCTTCTAGTGTAGCTTCGTAATCATCATAATCATCATATAGCGTAGAATCATAATCATGTTTGCTCCAAACAGTCTCAAATGATAATTCTGGGCTTTGTTGTTTAAGAGGTTTATTTATGCATATATTGTTCCAATAAGATGTAGAATCAGTAAAATTTTCAAATACAGTATTATTTCTAGCAGTAATATTCCATCCTCGGGTAATTGTATCAGTTTTTCCATCGCAATTAAGAGTGTAGGTTATATTAGAATTATCCGGAAGGCGAGTTCGACTAGAAAACTGTCGTGAAAAACTATCCAAACGAATCTTTCCACCTTCAAGTGTGAGTGATGCAAGGGCGTTATTAAATCGAACACCCAAATCTCTTGATGTTCTCATAGAATAGTTTGCATACTTGGTAATCACATCAATTGCAGGTTCATCATTTATATAGGTTACTTGACAGTCTATATTTTTTGGATTGATGGTGTCATTAAATATCTTAATTTCCTATATTTATAATAAAAATGAAAATAATAATGATTGGATTAAAATCAATTTTAGCTTGGTATTATTCAGTCGAATTTACCTGCTTGCCATCCCTAACCACTGAATACATGGAAAGCTGTTGATCGAAATTAAATGAATAATAGCAAGAATCACGAAATCTAAATAAGATTAATATATTAATTTATTATTATAAGTCCATTTTTTTATTTTAAGATAAAGAAGAATTACGTACGAAGTGTGTGCATCCTTCAGTAATATCACAACATCTGTAACGTCAGACTAAAATATAGAAAATAACCGGAATTATTATTTTGAAATCAGTAAAAGTTTATTATTTTTTAGCTTACATGAACAGTACTTACCATAAATTGAAAATCAGTTGTATAGTCTTTTTTTAATAATGAATCTAATTCTTCCAACAAATCGACAGGCTCAAAAGTAAATCCTTTCGCTGCAGGTTCTCTCGCTTGGTCAAAGAACGAATAGAAATTTCCAAGAATTCCCTTTAATGTTTCTATCGTCTATGTATCATTTAAATTCTTATTATTAATAATGTAATTTGATATAAAGGTAATCATTACTATTTCTATATACAGTAAATACCTGAGTTGCATTATCTTTATCAAACGGAAATGTTTGGTAACAAGCTTTCACATCTTCATATTTGAACGATGATTTTCCAGACATATAATCATAATGAATATTCGCACATGCATCAACTTTATTTGGATTTGGATAAGAATGAACTACATTAATAAAGGTCAGAAATAAGATCGATACACCAAGATTTGTTATCTTCATCTTAAATGCGCAAATACAACTTTACAAATTTAAGATAAATATTGAATAAAACCTTTAAATGCGCTTTCATCACGGAAATCTCGTCCTTTTAAATTTTTTTTTATGTAGTACGTAAAAAAAAGATATAGGTAATTCTTACAGCTGCGACCTCGGTGATGAAGAACTTCATATCCATAAGCGAATTTCATTTGCCCTAATTTGTATATTGAATTTCAAACTTATTTTTAAAAATAAATGCTAATCTAGAATTGTTTCATTGAACCATAATTCATCTATTATTATCAATATGCATTTTTTTTTACTACATATAGTAAAGTTATTCTTTTTACGTACATTTTATATACGCATGCATACGTAGACATAAATTCTTACGCATTTAGCAACTTTTATCTTAAAGAATTTAAAATTTCCAATGGTACTACGTACAGTATGTAAATCGCAATTACAATGAAATTACGTCTGTATGTACATAAAGTGGGTTTTTTTTAGCATAGTGTAACTGGCGCAAGTGGTAGCATGCTATTAAACTCTATTAAGAAACTACTGAAAAAAAAAATTTTGTTAAATTTGATTGGATGTTATAAAGTCTTTACTAGAGTGGCTAAAATCAAAATTGCGCTATGCCAATTGCGTGTAGGATGCGCTGCGCATGCTAATTTATAATTAGATTGTGCCACTGGGAAGGAAACGCTATATAAGTAACAGTTCGACTGTTGGTTGCTAACTAGAAAGAAGTTATTAATTAACGGGAAGGAATTATAATCACTCGGAAATAATCTAACGAAGGAGGTCAACTACAAATAAATTCGGTGGCATTCCCCGACGGAGTAATGTTAGCCCGATTTAGTGTTAAGGTTAACTAGATTATAGTTAGTGTTGGCTAAGTGTTAGGTGATTGTCGGGAAATCATACGTATAACTCAAATAAATGATAATCGTAGTAACAATTTCCGCATACGTTGTACGTAAAGGGGGAAATTACCACCTCGGGTAATACTGCGGCTCTAGACGTAGTACGAATTCTGAAAATTCTGAAAATCCC